TTGTTTTGGGGATAGGAAAGAGGACGTGAGGAGCGCAACCAAAAATGCACCTAAACACCATATTTGGTGGCTGTCAGTGACACTGACCGGTTTCTGAGAGGCGGGCCAGAAACGAGACAGACCCCAATAGCCACACCCTCTAGTAATAGTTTTTGACCGGAAGAGAAGATAAGTCGTTTCGAGGGGGGAGGGAAGGGTAACGTATTTGATTAAAGATTATAAGGGTAAATTTATTTAAAAACAATAATGAAGTGCACAGATAAATCATTTATAATAAACACTACAATATTACATATAAAACTACGAATGGTAAAATTTGATTTCGTGACGACTTTAAACTAAATGATTAAATGGGGCATTTAAAATCTAAATTTCAGAGCATACAGTGAATCAGAGAGAACGAATCAGTCCGAAAGAGACAATCTGGGACAGAAACAGACAGACATTTTGGAAGAGAGATACAGTTTGAGTAAAAGAAGTAGTCTGAGAGACACAGTCTGGGTAAAAGAAGTAGTCTGAGAGACACAGTCTGAGTAAAAGAAGTAGTCTGAGAGACACAGTCTGAGTAAAAGAAGTAGTCTGAGAGAGACAGTTTGAGTAAAAGAAGTAGTCTGAGAGACACAGTCTGAGTAAAAGAAGTAGTCTGAGAGACACAGTCTGAGTAAAAGAAGTAGTCTGAGAGACACAGTCTGAGTAAAAGAAGTAGTCTGAGAGAGACAGTCTGAGTAAAAGAAGTAGTCTGAGAGACACAGTCTGGGTAAAAGAAGTAGTCTGAGAGACACAGTCTGAGTAAAAGAAGTAGTCTGAGAGACACAGTCTGAGTAAAAGAAGTAGTCTGAGAGAGACAGTTTGAGTAAAAGAAGTAGTCTGAGAGACACAGTCTGAGTAAAAGAAGTAGTCTGAGAGACACAGTCTGAGTAAAAGAAGTAGTCTGAGAGACACAGTCTGAGTAAAAGAAGTAGTCTGAGAGAGACAGTCTGAGTAAAAGAAGTAGTCTGAGAGACACAGTCTGGGTAAAAGAAGTAGTCTGAGAGACACAGTCTGAGTAAAAGAAGTAGTCTGAGAGACACAGTCTGGGTAAAAGAAGTAGTCTGAGAGACACAGTCTGAGTAAAAGAAGTAGTCTGAGAGACACAGGCTGGGTAAAAGAAGTAGTCTGAGAGAGACAGGCTGGGTAAAAGAAGTAGTCTGAGAGACACAGTCTGAGTAAAAGAAGTAGTCTGAGAGACACAGTCTGAGTAAAAGAAGTAGTCTGAGAGACACAGGCTGGGTAAAAGAAGTAGTCTGAGAGAGACAGGCTGGGTAAAAGAAGTAGTCTGAGAGACACAGTCTGAGTAAAAGAAGTAGTCTGAGAGACACAGTCTGGGTAAAAGAAGTAGTCTGAGAAACACAGTCTGAGTAAAAGAAGTAGTCTGAGAGACACAGTCTGAGTAAAAGAAGTAGTCTGAGAGAGACAGTCTGAGTAAAAGAAGTAGTCTGAGAAACACAGTCTGGGTAAAAGAAGTAGTCTGAGAAACACAGTCTGAGTAAAAGAAGTAGTCTGAGAGACACAGTCTGAGTAAAAGAAGTAGTCTGAGAGACACAGTCTGGGTAAAAGAAGTAGTCTGAGAGAGACAGGCTGAGCGAGAGTGAGACAGTCTGAGAGAGAGTGTCTGAAAGAGAGTGAGACAGTCTGAGAGAGAGAGCCAGATAGTTCCAAGGTTGTTGATTGTAGAAGCAGAGAGTCAAGTCACTCCGAGATCTGAATCTGAGCAATGAATTATTTTTCTTGGCTCACGCTGCAGGAGTTTGCAGTACAACGCTCAGAGATATGAAAGCCACTCGGCAGGTTTCTAGCTCAGCATTTCCCCCTTGTAAAGGAGCCTCAACGCATTCCAGCCTCTTTCCAGACGCGTTCCCATCTGAAGGCCATGCATTCTTCTTCTCTTATTGCATGTTTATGAAACAGTGCCAGTCTTAATCAGATAATAGAACTCAAGCGTTACTATTAGCCTGTTCCAGTGCACACATTTCAGTTTTTTTTGCACACTCAAGACCGTTAATCTCAGCCAAAACCTGTAGCACAACAAACGACTCTGGTGTTATTGTCCTTGGAAAAACTTTGGTTGTGTAATTGTGAGGAACCCAAGCCAAGAGGGATTGTTTCTTTTGAAGATCTTGCAACTTTTCTCAGTGCGCTGCATGTTTAGGCCTGAGACAAAACAGGTACCCCGAGTGCTCCATCAAGCTGGCTGGCGGGATATTGTGCAACCAGGAGATGACATTTCGACTTTGACAAATATCTTGAAATCAAGATGCGGCGTCTGTAAGGTGTGTTCTTCCGCAAGAGGAATAGTAGCCAAATATTAGTGTTGATATCGCAGCAGGAGTTATTTGAATGTAGCCTGTAATTTGTGGTGGGGTGGCGGTTAATTCTTCAAACCAAAGGTATTAAATGCTATAACCCCATTTACTAAACGTTGGACACTCATTCAATGTAAGCCAATTGTAGTCACTTCATGTGTTCCTTCACCAGAACGAGTATCAGACTTTAGGATGTTCCCGGCTGGTGTTTGTGTTTTATACGTGACTTGAAGAATGGCAGCGATCATGTCTGTCATACTGTGAGTTTGCAAAAAAAAAAAAAAATCTACAAGTACAGCAAATGAAGCTAAAGTATTTCAAACACTATACACTCACTATGTGCTTGTGTGTGGTGAACTAAAATGCTCAGTACTGTTGTCCTCATATATATATCTCTTTATACAAGATGAGGTTTTGTATTATTATTATTATTATGTATGGTATATAGTATATTCTGACTGTATGCAAGTTTACCCATTAAAGGATGACCACAATGAAGCACAATGTGGTTTTATGTTTTGTTTGTTTTATGTAGTGTTCCATATTAGTCGTTTTTATCGATTTTATAATATATTATTCTTGTGCGCGTTCGTTTGCCCTATTTTTACACTTAGATGACCTTTTCCAGCATCTCTCAGGCTTCTTTGTTAATCTTTAAAAACACTTATAATTAAATTACACTGTTAAAGTCTTGGTGAAATGGAAGTAGCGACAGATCTTTTCTTCCGTATTATGACATCCATCCATGAAATGATTTATCAAAAAATAAAAAAAGCAGGGCGGGACTTGGTTGTTCATTGGATTTTGAGATGCACACAAAAGTTATTGCGAGCTTGCAATTGATTGTGGGGCGGGTTTTAAAATTCCCCAAATATGCTTTTTCGAATGTTACCTTTCATGCAGTGTGTAATATAGATGTTTGTGAATGTAAAAGGTCTGCAAAGTTTTAAAGATCAAAGTGCACGACAAATAAAGTGATTGTCTCTTAAAAGAAAGAATCGATTCTGAACTGTCGAAACGAGTCGTCAGTAATTCCAGTCTCTCTCTGTTACAAACCTACGTAACAATGTAAGACGTTTGCATAATGCCAGTCTATGGTCTTCACTTTGACCCTCAAACACTAGTTGTTGCTGAGACTGGAAGAGTTTGGTTTGTGTTGTTCATGTCGAGAAGACGCTGTTTCCAGCGCTGAGAATCCACTTTGCATGTATTGATACGTAAAAAAGCGACAGAGAAAAACATTGCTCTTCGTATCACTGTGTATCAAGTGCTGAGGAAGATCTGAAGCTGAAATTCAGATATGGTAATGGCCGTTTCATTTCCGACACGCGCTGTAAGCTGTACACCAATCACAACAGACTGGGCCGTCTGACCAATCAGAGCAGAGTAGACCAATCACAACAGACTCGGTCATCTGACCAATCAGAGCAGAGTAGACCAATCACAACAGACTGGGCCGTCTGACCAATCAGAGCAGAGTAGACCAATCACAACAGACTGGGCCGTCTGACCAATCAGAGCAGAGTAGACCAATCACAACAGACTGGACCGCCTGACCAATCAGAGCAGAGTAGACCAATCACAACAGACTGGGCCGTCTGACCAATCAGAGCAGAGTAGACCAATCACAACAGACTGGACCGCCTGACCAATCAGAGCAGAGTAGCTCTCGGAAAGGAGGGGTTTGGAGAGACTGAATCTTCGAACGAACCGTTTCAGACTCTTTGATAAATTAAGTGATGTGCAATGTATATTATAAGAAAATGTATGTGTTTTTTTACCTTTGATGTATGTAGACCTGTTGTAGGAGACTCCAAAACTAAATTAGCAATCTTTAAAATAATATAATGGAGAATTCCGGAAATAAGTCACCCGAGAGAAGTCTATCGTTTTTTGTTTTTTGTTCTGATTTAAAAAAATATATATAATTTTGTACACATGGATAAATCACTCACAATAAGATTTATAACATCCATTCACAAAAAAAAGATAGGGTGGGGTTTTTTTTCATGCCAACTTTAGATGTAATATTCAGACATTATGATTAAAATTTATGAAAGTTTTTCTTACTTTGTTATATTGTTGTGATACATAAATTCACTCTTCGCATTTAAAACTATTGAAATTCAAAAGGTTTCTAGTTCCCGTCTGGTAAGGAGTGAGCCATCGGCCCTCTTCATCAAGTCTGACCACTGCTTTCTAAACTGAATATTAGAAAAGGCAGTGGGTCAAATTCACTCATAATAGTGTACAAGCCCATCATTTACACATACTGTACGTTTATCCATTTCCTCAGTCTAATACCCTGCACAGTACATGCTTGGGATGAGTGCGAATAAATGACTTTTTACTGAATTTAAAATTCAGGAACAACTTTATCCTAAATTTAGAAAGAAGCTTGTGGATGAATCATGATTTCTGTGTAAAAACATTCACACGTTCTTTCCACTCAAGTATGTGCATATTCATGGTTAGTGAATGAAACCCAATGAGATGGAAAGGGGAAGTCAGAGCCGGTGAGAAATGGAAAATTTTATAATAATTATAATAATAAGATTGGAAGGTCAGATTTAACTTTTGCTGTTTTGATTTCAACAAAAAAAGCAAATTATTGTACAGATCATTAACTTCTCTTCCTGTTTGCTTGTTTCCCTACAGTGTTGAATGGACCCCCCATGTCGGTAAAGAAAGAGAGGGAGGTAGAGTTTCTGATGGCACGGCGGGAACAACGCAGCGGGGAGGTGATCTGCATCGACGACTGAATCCAGCACCTCTCTAACCACACACACACACACACACACACACTGACTCAGTCAAAGGACGTCTGCATGCAAACGTAAACACGACTATTCCTGAATGCACACATGCAGTTTGACGAATGAACAGACTACCCTCAGTATCACAGCAGCACTTTCACCACACCTCGAGTTACAGCTACTCTGAATTCAGCAGAGCTTACGCTCGCCTTTGGTTACTTCCTCACGAATACATATGTGCGCACATACACACACAAACATTTTATTTCCTCTCCTCTCATAGCTATCTGTCTCAAATCAGCCTCACACGTTCATCCGAAGTCCCGTAATCTCGCCAGCGCCCGTCAACACAGACATGAAGCTGCATGTATGTGGAATAGCTTCACATCACCCGCAGTGATTCGTTTTTTTCGACAGCATGCAACTCACGGTCCACGGTTTAGTCAAGATAAATGCCTGTGCATCGAGCTGTGCCTACTCTAGCATAGTGCAGTCTTTCAAGAAAACCCTCATCGTAAGCTAGCGTGACAGTTCTGAAGCGCCATGAACCATAAAGCAATCTTTAGTGCCCCTATTATGCTTTTTCGAATATCACTTTTCATGCAGTGTGTAATATAACTGCTTTTGAATGTAAAAGATTTGCAAAGTTTTATGCACGACAAATAAAGTGATTGTCTCCTAAAAGAAAGAATCGATTCTGAACTGCTGAAACGAGTCGTCAGCAAATCCAGTCTTACTGCTACAAACCTACGTAACAATGTAACTCATTTGCATAATGCCAGTCTATGGTGTTCATTGGCTGTCCGTGAACAACGTCTACTTTGACCCTCAAACACTAGTTGTAGCTGAGACTGGAAGAGTTTGGTTCGTGTTGTTGAGAAGACGCTGTTTCAGCGCTGAGAATCCACTTTGCTGCACTTCAGAAGGACGAGAAAGGAGGGGTTTAGAGACTGAATCTTCGAACGAACCGTTTCAGACACTGTGAGAAAATGAGGTGATGTGCAATGTCAATTATGAGAAAAATGATAGTGTTTTTTGACCTTGGATGCATGTTAATCATATATCAATATTGTAGGAGACCTCCACAACACAATTGAGTACCTTAATGATAGCATAATAGGGGCACTTTAATTTTAATGTCTGAAAGGGACTGTTGACCCCAAAATGAAAATCAAGGCATCATTAACAACCCAAACCTGTTTAACTTTCTTTTTTCCGCAGAACTCAAAAAATGGCATTTTGAAGAACTCTTTTTTGTACGTATGATGAAAGTCAGCGAGTTTCCAACATTTGGACCCCATTGACTTTCATTATATGGTCAAAAATATATATCAGAATATATTTTGTTACAAAAGAGTCAAACAGATTTGGAACAGCAGAAATTTCATTTGGGGCCGACTATGCTTTTAAGGACATGGGGGTTTAAGCATAATGATGATTTGACTTGGGAGGATATACATTTTTTTTTTTTTAAGATGGAAAAAATGATTAGCAGTACCCTGGCCAATTTCCTGCATCTTTCAGAGGACAGTAAAACACGAGGTAAAGTTTATAACCTACCACGACAGTAAGGAAGTAATGTGTTATGTTCGATTGAAACAGTATTGGCTGCAATATGGTCTTGGGGAAAAAAGACATGTTTGTCATGAAGTTATTTAGCCTTATATTGGGACATCAAGCATTGATATGTAGAGTTCCCTGCCTTTTTAAGTATTGACCCTTAATCTTGTGTTACGGTGAGGTGAAGAGGATTCATCTTCATACCTCTCTAATAATGTTCAAGATTGTCACTGAAGCACGTCTGGCAGTCCTGCACTTTCTCTGTCAAGCCCCCATCACTACACCCGCACTTTCTTTCATTCAAACACATCTCACTCCCATCCTTTATTCACATTTCTACTTGTTTTTATGAGCTCTTTGATATTGTTTGCGTATTTAAACTCGGTTTCATTGTGTTCTCCTGTTTTTAATTCTCGTTATTACAACTAAGATTATTGTTGTTGCTCTTGATGTTGTCCTTGATGTTACGATTGCGAAGCTTCTACCAAATGAAAATAATAATAATAATAATAAAAAATTAAAAAATACAGTCGAAACATTGATGCATTGTATGTTTGGTCCATGACATTTCTCCATAGCGGACCTCTTGTAATAATATTCCATGAGGAGGTTGAGCGGACTTCGTAACGATTGATATCATTGCTATCTAACGGACATCTCGCTTGTATCTAGATTCGGGGCTTGCCAACAAATAACCTGTATGCAGTGGATCACATGTAACCATGAAATTGAAAACATATGAATGCATATATTCAAATCAGCAAATGAAATTCCTTCCGCAGTGTTTCTTTATGACCTTTGGCTCCTACAAATGCAAAGCCTTGTAATGTAATCGCCTTAAATGGAAATATACAACTGTAAAGGGTTAATCAGCAGATGTGAACTCTGTATATCCCTATAGCTAGGCCTCAACTCTGAGATATCACGAGTTGAAATGTTAATTTATTTGCCTCAGTCCCCAGTACAGTTCTGAAATGTCCTTAATTTCAGTGCTTGGTATTATTTGGGAGAGTTGTCAAATCAAGCACTTTCTGTCCATTTTTTGATTTCTGTCTTTTCATTTTTTTTCTTGCGTTTTGTTTGTTTCCTGCTAAGCGTTACTGTGTACGTTGTGATTCCAGACAGTCAGTGACATTGTTGTGATCAACATTCGGCACACCGAACGGAACATGTTAATAATGCATCTTTCTCTCTTTTGTTTTGTTTTGTTTGTAATAAAATAAAAATTCAAATGAACAATTTCTGGTTTGCTGTGCTTGTTATCAACTTATCAAAAGAGATGACACCAGGTTGAGAGAATTTGATCAGTTTAATGATATATGTCTGTTAGTAATGTAGCGGTACATGTATTGATGCTGAACCGTCACGGTACGGACGTCACGTTTTGGTGCATACAGTCAGATGACGAATACAGTCAGTCACAGGCGATCACACTCCAGTCCAGAAGGGGGCGTGTGCGATAATGCAACGCTGTTTGCTAACAGGAAAAAGAGCAGAAGAAGAGATGATTGACGCACCCATAGATATCCATAATGAAGGCTAGATGTCCATAATAAAGGCTAGATGTCTTACGGCGGAGTCTCTATTGTCATCACCGGCGGCCATCTTGTCACAGGCAAGCTTTCTGGCGGGCTCTGTGGTGCCTGATGTAAGATGAGTGATCAGCACGAACACAAATACTCTTATCTCGGTGAAATCTTGAGGGATTTACAAACGGTTTGGGTTCTTACAAACGTTATTAACGTGGCTATAATTCTGGATTATTTATTGATACACTTATTATTCATAAGTATGCAGTGTCATAACTACATCTTTGACGTTTATAACAAACCAAACCGTTTGAAAATCGGTAAAAAAATTGAGCAAGTTATGGTTATTTAAAAAGTACATGCACCATTAAAACACAAAGTTACGAGTGAGCGAGCTGCCTGTGACAAGATGGCCGCCAGGTGCGGACGTCGACCTCCATTGGCCAGCAACACGGACGAGACATCTAGCCTTTATTATGGATATCTATGGACGCACCAACCCAAAACAAGAGTTCAGATGGCACGCAAGAGCTTGCAAGTAGCTGAGTTTCGATTGATTTTTGTGACGCGTTCCTCAAACTTAACGGAAAGGAAACTGGGACGGCAGAAAGCGGCATCCTGTTTGTTTTCTTTATTTTACAAAAGCACAATGTTTTGTTTTTATTGTGAATGTACACACACACGAATTATGTCTTACTCTTATTCGTATGACCATAAATTATGGAGTATTTTAAGTTCTCTGTTATAATGAGACAAAATCATGTGCCGATTTGTGTCGTGGAAGTCTTACAACTACAGTCTGGTAATGAAATATGCGTGTCCTGGAAATGAGGGCGGACATGTAAGTTAGATGTACCGAACATGCATCGAACCGTGAGCCCAAAATCGAGGTCCGTAATGTTACCGAACCATGACTTCTGTGTACCGTTACACCCCCTAATGTCTATGGCAGGGCTCCAGACTGTTACAAAACAAAACAATTATTTGCAACAGCAATTTAAAATCTAGTCGGGAACGTTTTGTGGCGTCCGTATGCAGTTTCGACAGAAGTCATCTTGTTAAAATGCTCGCCAGTGTCTTCTAAAACCAATTACGAATGCGGTGCCAGCCGTGATGTCCAATTCACGAAGGAATGACTCTTATTAACTGGTTCTTTTAGCTTTAGAGGCACACGTGACACTTCAAATGCACTTGCGGTTTTGTGGTGTGATTTGTTGTGTGTCGGATTGTGAAGTCCACGAGACCGTATGGTGTCCATAGACAGTATAAGAAGTGGACAGAGCCATCTCATTGGAACTCAGTTGAGACAGTTGAAGCCCATTTTTAGCGATTTCTGAGCACTTCCGTTCCTGACGCGCAGACTCAGACCGACTCAAACTAAGCTTGATGACGTGAGCAACCTGTCTGACAGACGTTACTCTTCTAGTAGCTGTGCGTGAAAATTGCCAACGTTAATCTTGCAGAGACGGGGAACTTGAGCAAAGAGTTCTTTGGCGTGAGTGAGCAGGAGTAAGTATTCCTTTGCTTTTATGGGCTCATTATCTATGGGCTTCTCCCTTGACGGGACGTCCCCCCGATTGCCTGCGAGCTTCTCCTCCTGTCTGTACGGTCATTTCTGTACAGCGCGACAGAGAGTCGAGTGGTTATGACGCAATCGTTAGCCTATTTTTACAAAACTGTTTCTACGGGGCCATAATGTAACATAGAAGGTAATGGAGCCCTTTATACATTGTCGTGTTTCTTTAGAAATAAATAATGGACAAATGGAGTCTTTAAACGCCTCAGATGTAAAGTTATTCGCTGTCAAAGTGACGCCAAAATGAATGGGAGTCAATGGAAATGCTAACGCAAGTGAAGTTCTGCTACAACATGGCGGCACCCGGCCGGCTTCAACTTCCGGTCGATGGTTACCCCCTTGATGGTGTCCCATTTGTTTCTGAAGGGTGCTCGTGGGCGCCCCCTTTGCGGTCTATATTTACCCTTGATGCACACTTTTGCCGAAACTCGAACTTGTTCCCGACAGCTAAAGCGGTGTTACGTCACAAAACTGCGGACTTGTAGAAAGACCGGTGTTGTGGGACAGGGCCAGACTAGTTTGTGTCAGTCAGTTATGGAAGCTTGTGTCCGCCACGGAATAGAAAAAACTTTTAAGACTTTTAATCACAATATTCTGAATTTTCTTCCTTGCAATTTCAAGTTTATATCTCACAATTCTGGGGGAAAAGTCAGAATTGTGAGATATAAACTTGCAATTGTGACAATTTTTTCGCAGTTGCGAGTTTATAATTTGCAATTCTTACTTTGTTCTTAGAATTGTGATCACAATTGCGAGGTAAAAAAGTCAGAATTGTGAGGGGGAAAAAGTCGTTCAGAGCCGTTACTGAATTCCCCTCACAGATCCACGAGTCATTTTTTGCTCATGTCTAATTTGAAATGAACCAGTTACTCTAGGTTTATGTTGGGGTTTTTTTTGTCTGGAGCCTTGTATTGTTAGATGATAGACACAAAAAAGAGCATTTGTTTTATCCATCTTTTTGCGTTTGGTGGTACTATCAGACTTTACTGGTAGACGTTGAAATGAAACATGCCATTTAAAGTGTCATTTGGGGCTAGATCTACTAAACAGGGCAAAGCATGAGAGCTCAATTCCTCAAAAGGGCCGAAGGGAGTGTAAAGTTCTGCGCGGATCTACAGACGACGTGCACATTAAAGAACACAGACACAGCAAATCATTTCCATAATGACCAACACAATCTAGCGCAATTTAGTGTCTGACATGCTTTTTTTGGCATTAAATAATGGCGCAAATACCAGTTAATTGACTAGGCAAACCTTAGTAAATCACCTTGAATGATTCATTTAAACACTCTCCTCCCATCTTACATCTTTCAGGGTTGTAATGTAACTTCTTTAACAGTTTTACAGGTCTTTTGGCCTTGAGATTGGCCAGAGATTACATTCCTGAGGCCTTCTCAGTTCCCAGAACCTCGTATCTTCAACCTGATTTACAGGTAAAATAAGTTTGTTTTTGTTTTTCTCAGATGCTCTTAAAAAAACATGGCCATGAAACCAAAGAAACACCTTGTGTGCATATTTTGAAATCAAAATGGCCTCCGTCACCTCAAATTCACGCGTTTACTCTCACAAAATCTGACTGTACTTGGGTCAGGTTTATCTTGGATGTTTTAAAAGCAGAAACCGTCCCGCTAGCCAAATGTGAATTGTGTGCGAGGAGTGAACCCAAACAGATTTTGTTTTTTAAAAACCGAGTAGACAAGGGGGAAGGAATGGGGCTAGAGATCAGCGGGGAATAAGCACATGTTTTTCCTCAAAAGGTTTTCAACTATTTGCTGCAGATTCCGATACAGGAAGTGAGAGTCCAGAAGCAAGTGGAAATGAGAAGGTTTGCAGGGGTCCGCATGAGGGTTCAGGAAATAGGAAAGAGGAAGCCGATTGCATTATTAGGAAACCCATTTGGGGCAAAGTGCATTTCGGACGGCGGTTGTAACTTCAATTTCAGATTTAATTAACAGCATTGACAAGATTTACAAAAGGCTTCAGGAGCGGTAGGTCAGGTAGACATTGACAGATTCGAGTCAGCAGTGGTTTTATACATTTCTAAAATTAGTGAGATTAAATGACATTACGATGGTGTAAAAATCTGCAATTTTACCTTTTTAAAAAATAACATGAAATTGCACATTATATAAAAACCAAAGGCATACTGTCCTAAGCCGTCCATGCCATCAACCTGTACACACAGTCCACTTTCAGAAACACAGTACGGTACATAAAAGAAGACACTGCCTTTTTCTTGATAAATATTAATATATATTTCATATGTCACAGTGACTGTGTATTTGGAGAGAAAAGGGAGTGTTGGCTTGTTGTTTCAAACTGATAAAAAATCTATGATTATTCAATGCATATTTAGTCACTCCCTTAGAGTTTTTCTTAATGACCAACCAAAACCTTAATTTTTATTTTGTCTTCTGCGCTGAACCCATCCAGTGGTAAGGCAGTTCAGGAACTAGGGCGACTCTGTTTTGGTCCAGCCAAGTAACCAGTGGTGAAACCTCTCATGCTTGTAGTGGCCTGCGACACTGCTGAAAATTCATAGTCCTTCTGTTCAAACTGGTTATGCCAGTATATAAGCCAACCACGCTGCTGGAGCAATGTCTCTGGTATGCTGTAATTAAATGCTATATTTATATAGTAGAAATTGTGCTGGTTTGCGTTTAATAAGGCATTTGCAGCCAAACCAACAGAGTACCAAGTGATTCTCCATAAATTGGTCCAACAAGGCAAGTTGTGCAGTCATTAACATCCCGATGACATCTTAATGGAAGGGCACTTGCGTTCATAAAGGGGTCATCTGTGACCGTGGACAGCTGGTTATAGAAACGTTCCTCGCTGAGTCAAAATTTCCTCTGTTAAGGCAACGCCAGGTTCAAAGAGACAGGTTTAGGTTAGGTACTTTTGGGCATCTGTGGAAAACTATAAAACTCCATACAGTTGAGGTGTCTGGAAAACTGTCTGAGCCTCTAGTTGACTTTGAAGAGGCCGAAGTAGTGTTTGCCCGACGTCTGCAGACTGAAGGAGCCTCCGGTGATGGCCTTCAGCTCGGCGCCCTTGTTGAGGCGTAGGAGGCCGGAGACCTGGCACGGCTTGAGGAAGTGAAACCTGTGGGAGCCCGAGGCTGGTGTGGTC